ACAATTTTCAGCTGGAACGCATAGAACTATCTTAGATTTATCTCAGCAGCTCAGACCCCACGGAAGAAACCGATGGTTATGGGATCCGTTGGCTGCTCTCACCCCTCCAGTACCCCTTGCTTTCCTCCCTCTTCCTTGCTCTCATCTTCCCAAGTAGTTTTGTCACAATTTTGTGTTAGCTTGATAGTTTTATACACTGTCGTGACTGTTTCTGACTTCTGATTCAAATATGATACCATGATTACATTTTTTCTTGCACAGCTTCTGTATTCCCTCAATTAGAAATTGCCGTTTTGGGACACCTGGGTGGCTCATTCAGTTGAGCACCCAACTCCTGGTCTCAGCTCAGGTTATGATCTCGTGGTTTGTTGCATCGAACCGCACATCAGGCTCTGCCTGATGACAGCACAGAGCCTGCTTGGGATTCCTCCTCCCCCTCTCTCTCTCTTTGCCCCTCTCCCGCTCATGCTCACTCTCTCAAAATAAATAAATAAACATTTTTTTAAAAAGAAATTACCTTTTTAACTCTCTTGACGTTTTATGCACCTATAACTGTTTTTTCCCCCAGATGCTTCCATGTATCTGTCAAATGCCATATCTGTTGCACTGTCCAAACCTGAAGGGCATTAATCAACTTGGAAGTTCCATTTGTTTCCCAAGAGTATGGCCTTCATCTTGTAGCACCCATCTAGGGCCAGTGCAGACCTGTCACAGGAGCATGTCATTTCCCTCTCCTCTGTGTCAGTCCTTCTGTCATGCATTGGATCCAACAATTCCCTCTTGCTTCCTGTATTCCCTCATCTTTCTAAGGCACTTTCTTCAGTAGTTTTCTGAGAAAGAAAAGATTTCGAATCCCTGAGTGTGGTCCCCGAGTATGGGTGTATTCTGCCTACATAATTGTTGGTAATTTGCGTGGGTATAAAATTCTAGGTTGGAAACTATTATCTCTCAGAATTTTGAAATTCCGCAGTGTTTGAAGGTCCCTGACTTTCCCGTTTCCAAGTTGCTATTAGGAAATCCAGTCCTTCTCTTTTCTGCTAAATTCCTTGCCATTTTTCCAATTGATCCTCTATTTTTTTTTATTTTTTTTTAATGTTTATTTATTTTTGAGACAGAGAGAGACAGAGCATGAACAGGGGAGGGGCAGAGAGAGAGGGAGACACAGAATCTGAAACAGGCTCCAGGCTCTGAGCTGTCAGCACAGAGCTCGATGCGGGGCTCGAACTCAGGGACCGTGGGATCATGACCTGAGCCGAAGTCGGACGCTTAACCAACCGAGCCACCCAGGTGCCCCAACCAGTTGATCCTCTAAATACATGTTGAATTCTCTTCTGCTCTGGCCACTTCTCCCAGTAACCTTGTGATTTGGGGGCTTCTATCACTTTTTATTCCTGGTATGAATAAATGGAAATCTCGTGTGGCCGGTCCACCATGTTTATTTAACATCCAGTGACATCTTTATGTTTCCAAGTACTTAAACCCATGCAATCCCCTTTGCATATCTTTTGACACTATTACCATTAGCAACCCTAGGAGTACTTAGTAGTATTCCCATATGATAAGGACACAGCTGAGGCTCCAGGAATGTTAGTAGCTTTCTCAACTTTAAGGAGCCAGCATGTGACGGATTCTAATTTAAAATCGTATTTCTCCCACTCTTACTGAGGCATCAGGGTGCCATTAAGTGATGCCTTTGTGATGAAGGTCACTAATAATGAGTCAGACCAGAGCTTCCCCGTATCTTGCTACGGTAAACGGACACCACTGAGTGATGTGAATTATTCCTTTGAACTATTCTCTGAGCCACAAAATACAGGCTTTCCTCTTCAGTCACTCCTGTTATTGCACAGGAGAAATAGGAACACCTCAAATCAAATAATTGCTGGTGATCTGACTCATTCAGATAGTGGAGTGTATTAGAACAGACAAGGAAAACTGAAATTATGGGATGCAGGTCTGAAGGAAAATAAACTTTACTGTATAATGGTGCTACCTCAGAGTTCAGCACACAATGAAATAACTCCTCTTCAAAGCTTTTACTTACATTCTCTCCCAGGGCACAAATAGCATTCTCTAATTTGAAAACAAAATATAAGGAGTTGCTTTCAAAAGTCCAATATGCTGAAGACGTTGTAGTCTTTTGGCTAAGTGGTTACTCTCAAAAAAGAGTGGCTTTCCAGCTAGTATTTATGACTAAGCACACATCCCCAGTAATTTCTGGTTTGTTTACATGTCACTTTGACGTTCTGTGGTTGTAAGAGCGGACACGCTTTGTGTTCAAGGATATGTGCTCAAAGGGAGTTTTCTGGTAATACCTCCTGAAGGGCTTGTAGGGTCCTTGTCAGACAAGAGTTTGCCCATTGCTTTTCCCAGCTGAATATCGTGTTCTTGTACTTCCTTTTTTCTTTATCATCTAATTAGCCCCATTCATATCTTCCTGTACATTAACCCCGCTAAAGCAAGGAAGCTTGGGGTCAAGTAGTGGAAAGGTGAAACTAGGCAATACATCCTCTGACCTGGACCCCCAGGCTTCTCATCTGTGAAACGAAATCGTACATACAGATGATCTTCAAGTCCTCTCCCGGCCCTTGAATGCCGTTTCTACACCATCAATGAATCAACTCCACTTCATTATCTAAAGCAATCACCCCTGTTTCGGTACGTGTGCGACCATGAGAGAATTCGTTCATTAATGTATTTAACACATATTTATTGGATGTTGTAGTCAGAGCTGGGTACACAGTAGCAAATGAGCAAACACAGCCCTGAGCCTCATTGGGTTCACAGCCCAGGAGGAAAGGCATACATAAACAAACTCTCGAATAAATAATTGTGATAAAGCCTGGGGAAAAAATAACAACAGAGTGCTGTAAGAAAGAATTAAAAAAAAATAAAAAAGATCATTTAGACAGAAAAGGGGGAATGTTGCCAAGAAAGCTTCGTTGAAGAAATGGCAAGAGACCCAAAGGTCTCTTCACCGGCTAGCCAAGTGGAGAGTAATAGAGACAGTGTTCTAGGCATGTAGGGCGGCGTGTGTGAAAGACCCTGAGGAATTTAAGAGCTTGTGCATCCAGGGGATTTGCAGAAGGCCATGTGGCTAGAGCATAGCGAACAAGGGCATGGGCCTGAGATCAAAGCAGATACGGGCTCCCACCACATCATCCAAAGCCTGCCCACCTTGCTGAGCATTGTGTATAATGTCAGAAAGACGGGAAGAACCTACTGAAAGATGTTTACACAAGAGAGGGAGGTGATTCAAGTGCGTTTGTAAACGATTGTTCTGGTCCCTGTGTGTGCACGGGAGGAAGACAAAAACAGATAAACAAGTTCAGTTAGGAATTTGTCCGGACAAGAGCCCAGGAGGCAATGGCAGAGAAGAGGGTTGTGTTTCCCACATGATCTTGGGGTGGTCTCCTCATTTCGCTTCAGGAGTCAGCTGCGGGTGCCGTGGGATACTTGAGGCCTCGCGTCTCAGGGTATGTGTACGTATTAATAATGCCTGTGAGATGTAGGGAGTCCCATGGCCTCCCCAGTGGTCTTCTTGAACAACATTCTTCGTGTGAACATTCCTCGTTCACAGCCACAGCTGTGGGTCCCACAGGCTCCAGGAGACAGAAGCCAAGCTTTTAAAATCATCTCCTTAATGCCACTCTAAGTAAGACTCGGTAGAGAAGAAGGCCCTATCCTTCTCATTTTGTGGAAGGGGCACGATAAAAGTAACAGTGCCTCAGTGGCTCCACAAGGGCACCCTCTCCAGCCCCCCACCTTTCTCCCTTTTCTTTCTTAAAAACTTTTTTAATGTTTATTTTATTTTTGAGAGAGAGAGAGAGAGCATGAGCGGGGGGTGAGGAGGGGGAGTGAAGGGCAGAGAGAGAGAGAAGGAGACACAGAATTCGAAGCAGGCTCCAGGCTCCGAGCTGTCAGCACAGAGCCCGACGCGGGGCTCAAACCCACAGACCCTAAGATGGTGACCTGAGCCGAAGTCGGACGCTTAACCGACTGAGCCACCCAGGCGCCTCCCTCAACCTTTTCTAATGTGCTTCATGTGCTCGGTTATCCAAGAGCTCTACACTCCATTTTGGCAGCCCATTTTTGAGGCCTGTTAGGAGCCGACCAGCTCGCTCTGTTTTGCACCTCTTGTCTTGGACCAAGTGGAGACAGACAAACGTCCCGCACTGGTATCTTCACCAAGTCTCCCTGCAACTGCTCTGTAACACACAGACTGCAGGTGGCCGACACCCCTCCCAGCTCCCTGAGGCCCCCGCACCAGCCATCTTGTCTACCCCCCAGCCCTGCTGCCTTGAGCCTCACTGCAACAGCGTGGTCCCCAGGGTGCCTCTCTCCTCTCTCCTCCTCTCCTCCTTTCTTCCCACCCCATCATGACACCCTGTCCTCTGATGCCTCCTGTCCCAGGAGGCTGTGTGACTCCTGTAGCAGTGCTCTCACGGCTGCCCACCTCCTCTTCCTCTTTTGCCAGACAAGGGCTGGTGTCGGATCCAGTCCCCTGTCCCCACGCTAAGTACCGTCAGCCCCCCTCGCACATAGACCATGCTGTTCCCCCTTTGTCGGCCATTTTTCTGAGAATCTGTCTGACAGCTCAGACTCTGTGAGAGGAACTCGGGTAAAAATGGGCAAAATTTCCAGCACTTCCACTGCTTGGCAAGACATGCAGAAGAACAGAGACGGGCGGCCTGTAGGAAGGGTAGAAAGACCAGCACTTACCAGCCTGAGCTGCGTGAACAATGGAAGAGGCTGAGATTTTCTGGAGCGATGGGGAGGACGGGAGTAGGAAGAAAGCAGAGCTGGTACCTTAGTAGAAGAGGTGGGAGAAGGGAAAAGAACGGGCCACAGTATCTTGTCCATTCCAAGACATCATGCGACAGTGACAGATGAGAAGAAGTACCTGGGTTTGGGGAGCAACCACTCTTTCAGGGACTTGATGCGAGTCGGCCAGGTAAAGGGGGGTCGCATCCTAACCGAAGCTCGCGCGTGTCTGACAGGAGCAAACGCTAAGCATGGGCTGCGCTGCAAGGCCTGTAAGATGAGCCTCCACCACAAGTGCATGGATGGCCTAGCACCCCAGCGGTGCATGGGCAAGCTGGTAAGGGCTGGTGCCAGGAGTGAGCCCAGAACCCCCCGCACGTCCCGAGGTCCCTCCCCGCGGCACCCTGGTAGCCGGACACTAGGAAGGCGGCCCCAGAACCCCAGGGCTGCCAACCGGGCTTCCTTATTGGCATAATGATCAACCAGAAGAGGAGCTTTATCAACCTAAGAGACAGATGCTCCCCATGTGAAAGGGCTCAGGGTCTTTAACAGAGTGGCCAGCTTGTCCGGGGTTGGAACTTTTTCAACGTCAGCACCGGAAGTCCCACGTCCTGGGACCGTCCGTGTTTTAAAGATGAAAGTTGGGCATCCCGGGAACCCCGTCAGCCCAGAAAACCTAGGGTGGCTGGTCACCTCAGTGCTCCATTGGCTGACAGCACCGGGGATGTCAAGAAGGGGAGAGAGATTAACCACCGCGTTCAAAAATGGGGAGAGTAATAAAAATTGACACACCACTTTGACAGATCTTGGCGGCCAACACCAGGAAGGTCAGATGGCCCTGGCCCATTCTGGGCTGGTCCACCATCTTGGGACTGTGGGCTCAGTACTGCCTCCCCATGTTGATTAAAAGGAACCTCTTTTGAGGGTATTGAAACTAGGATGGCCAAAGAGCTGTCGAAGGGACGAGAATGTCTACCCTAGAGGTAGATACTTAGGCTATGACAGTGATCTTCAAAAAAACTTAAGACCTGAGGAATTCTATCCTGCTCAAGGAATTTATCCTTGATTAAAAGGAACGTCTTTTGAGGGTATTGAAACTAGGATGGCCAAAGAACTGTCGAAGGGACAAGAATGTCTACCCTAGAGGTAGATACTTAGGCTATGACAGCGATCTTCAAAAAAATTTAAGACCTGAGGAATTCTATCCTGCTCTGTGGCTCCAGGGAAAAGACTGAGGATCAGTAGATGCCAAGTCTTACCAACCAGAGACAGTGTCACCAAAGACCTGCTTTCAGGGTTACTGAGCACTCCTCCCACCAACCTCCCCCCTCCCCATCACGGGCAGTATTCAAAAAAAGGAAGATACCACCTTCCAGGAATATCGGAGAGGATTCTAGACTTGTAGTAGGGTCTGGGCCACAAAATTCCCTTCCAACACTGGGATATAATTAGTCAGGTTCTTAGTTCATCTCCTTACTCTGGTTGGCAGTATCCTCTTTTCTAAAACCCCTGCCTCACCTGATCCCGTCCTCCTCCTCGGCCAATGGAGATGCCCGCAAGCCAAAGCAAAGACCATGAATGAGGGGTCAGAAAAACATAACAGAGTCTAGAACACAAGGCAGATGGCTCTGGGGGGAGCTTGTCATATACACAAGGGCCTTACGGCCTCCCTCTCGGGTCGGCTTCCACTCTTCCAGGCCTTTTATGATTTTGATAAACCTCAATAGTAAGCCACGTTGAAATAATGCATGCCAGTCCATTTGGATCCTGGGAGATGAGATGATGGGAGAGGAGTCTGGGCACAAGGGAGGCTGCTATGGTCTGAGAAGGAGGAGAGACAAGAAAGGGAAGGACAGGGCTGGGGCTTGCTTTCTAGGTGCAGTCGTAGCTTGCTTACTGCCACCTGTACCTCCCGCCCCCCCGGGGATAACTTGTAGGACAAGCCAGCATCTTAAAGGGCGACAGAGGGGTGCCCCTGGCGAAACCAGCTGGTGTTATCTTCAGAGCTCTTGTGTGGTTCTCTCCATCTCATCAGTGACATTAAGCCCTTCTCTTTCTCATTCTCTCTCCAGCCAAAAGGGTTTCGGCGTTACTACAGCTCCCCTTTGCTCATTCACGAACAGTTTGGATGCATTAAAGAAGTTATGCCCATCGGTGAGTTGGGACGCTGATGGGCCGAGCTGGGTTTTGAGCAGCATGGTCCGCATTCACGGCTGCTGTTCTCCCAGGACCGCAGGCCCAGTGGGGTGTGTTTGTGCGTCTGTCTGCTGGCTGATTGGGTTACGACTGTTGGCTTTGCTGGAGGGGATACAGTAGGTGGAACAAATTCTCCTTTCCCTGATGAAGCTTGAAAAACACCCAAGTCCCAAAGGCTGCTGATACGCTATTCCTTTGGGAATGCTGTTCCTTTGGGAATGCCATTCCTTTGGGATGGAATAGCATGGAGTGTAGCATCTCACAGAGCCGACCCAGCTTCCCCGCTGACCCACTAACTGTGTGTCCGGACCCTTTACCCAACCTGTCAGACCCTGTAAAGGGAGAACAGCAAAGGCTGCTTTTCATAATTGTTGTAAAAAAAATAATTGTAAATGATAGACCAGTATTTGGAAGGAACTCTGTGAATATCACTTATTCTTTAATGAGGACCAAAAAGATGATGTCTTATATGTATAGATATTTCTGGCTTGAATTTATTCTTTAACAATATCTTTCAGTTTACTTCCATCTCTCTCTCTCTCTCTCTCTCTCTCTCTCTCTCTCTCTCAGAATCCCTACATCTATTTTTGCCTTTGGATGGGGGGCGAGTTTTAAACTAGAAATGGATAAGTCAGAAAGCTTTTAAAGAGAAATTCACGAGGCCTGGTGATGCCCAATTCTTTCAACACTTGCCTCCTACTGCAGACTTTGTGTCTCGCTCAAGGCTTCACACCTTGGCGAGCAAAACCTCGCCCTAGAGGAAATAAAGCTGGTCCCTGGGAAGAACCTTGAAGTTGGAGTCCTGGGGACAGATAACAAATGAGGAAAACCAATGAATCAGGAAGTGTCTGGGAGCAGAGAGCTCTGGTTGTAAGTGACGGGTGCAGGGGAAGGACCTGGCCAATGAGCACCTATTACGGGGGTGGGAAATCTGCCAGGAAAGCCCAACCACACAGAGCTCCATTTTCCCAGGGATTAGTGGGTCTTCCCCACAAAGGCTTCTTCTCAAGGGCTGTTGACCCAGGAGATGTGATAAAGGCTTGGCTGCATCCCTGATGGTAAGTTGAGGAAACCTGTCACTCAGACGACCTTTCTCTTCCATTGCAGCCTGTGGCAATAAGGTGGACCCCGTCTACGAGACCCTCCGCTTCGGCACCTCCCTGGCCCAGAGAACAAAGAAGGGCAGCTCGGGCAGTGGCTCTGACTCGCCTCACAGAACCTCTGTAATTGTCCCCTTCTTCCCTCGGTCCACCTGCAGAGCTCTGGGAGGGAGGGCCATGGGCACCGCAGCAGCGATGGGTTTCCCCCTAAATGCGTCAGGAGGGCGGGTCTGTTGGGAGTCAGGCAGCCTCTGAAGGGAAGTCCCAGATGCCTTGGGCCACTTGCCCTTCTGTGGCCAGCACCCAGGGATCATTTTACTCTCATCCTCAAAGACCATGCTCTTGGCCTCCGCTCCTTGACTGTCCATGCATTCCCCCCACCTTCCCCTTCCACCGATAATAGATAACAACATGTCGGTCACCACACAGAAAGGTTTCACCCAACGAGTAGCGGGAGCAGGAGAGTCCCAGTTGTGTCCAGTTCTCCTTCCAGCTACATCCCAGTTCAAAACTACAGCTCTTTCTCGGTCGTTTCTCCGTATGATGAGTTACTTCCCTGGGCTTCACACGACAGCTGCCCCCTCCCCTGCGGCGCTTGAGCTGTGTCATTAAGTGGGGGCCTGGTTCCATGGGACACTCACCCTCCCAAACACCGCTTCTACATTTTACTTGCTCTAACATCACTGTTCCCATGCATCCCCGCTGCATGCTGTCATCATCCTATGGCTGGCTACCCCAACCAGAATTTCTAAAAATGCCCCAAGATGCCATACAGCTCTGCAGATCACGCTGAAGGCCACCATCCCTCCTGCAGAGGCAAGGACCTGCGAGTGCATGTTCCGGGTAGGATAGCTCGCACCCAACTACCGTCGCATCCCCTATTAGACTGGGGCTTCCGGGCACAGATGAGCCGCCAGGTGGTCTGCCCGGCTGGGTCCCGTGGATCATGGGAGAAGGGCGGGGCTTACCCCTGAGAGGGGTCCTCAGGAGCTGAGTTGAAGCAGCTCCCTCAGTGGGTGCAGGTTAATCCGCAGGATAACCTAGATTGTGGTCTGTGAGTAGATATGGAGGTCGGGTGGCTGAGTAGGTAGGATTGCAGGTCCTCTGGTGCCACATGGTTACCCTAGATGCCACCTTTAAACTCCCTGAAAGCCCTGTTCTTCATGCATCCCGCTGATTGCTAAGAGGGAAGAACCAAAACTTGTTCGACTCTGTGTCCCGGCTGAACACAAAACTGACGTCCATCCGCTCTCCGTCTTACTTGGCAAACGTGAACGAGGTGCCCCCAGTTCACGAGCACCGTAGAGGACACCAAGAAGTGGAGGACGTGGCTTGTTACCCTCAGAATTCACAACTTGTCACAGAAGACCAATGCAATAGAGAAGAAAGCGGGTGGCATTCTTTAGCATTTTTTAAGAAATACACTCTTACAGGTCTTGTACCGTTTTTCTTAAGAATAAGAACGTACGTGTGAAGGGTACGATACCAACTAAGTCACATGAGCGCTGCGGGATTTCGGAGTAAAGATGGAGTATGTTTCGGCAGACGTTGCGGTCAAGCAGCGCAGGTGTGAGTTGTGACATTTTAAGGTCCTTGACCCTCATGATCTCCCTCGGGAGGCTGTACATCAAATCAGCAGTCCCTGTGGCAGCGTTAACTCATTTCCTAAAAGAAGGGTAAAAGTGCTGCTCAATGTGATGAAAACATACAGAGTACATGTGGGTGGGATTTATCTTACATACACATTGGTTACGGCTGCTACGTGGGTTGGTTAATAGTAAGAGTATACGTAAAGCTTCTAGCATAGGGCCTCGCACCCAATACGTGGCAGTTGCCACTATGTTATTTTCATTAAGCATCTAGCCCTTGAATTTGAGTTGTTATTATGAAGTGAAACAAGGGTGTAATCCATTAGAAAGGCAGGTGTGTTGTCCGAGAAGGGCAGTTCCCAGGCCATCCCCAAATGGGGCCGATTACTGGGCTCTGTAAGAGGCTAGACACCCCCCCCACCCCCAGGGTTCCACCCTGCTCTTCTGCTCAGACCGTCTCCTCTGATGTTCCTCCAATCACTCCTTAAGCCAGGGCTGTTCGGAGGGCTCTGCTTTGGCTTGGCCATTCTGTGCCCCATGCTCTTCCTGGTTATCTCGTTCACATTCCACTGGTCCAAGCACCACGTCTAAAGCTGATGACTCTAGATACTTATTGTCCTAACCTCCTGTCCAAGTACCAGACTGGTCCTACAGAAATCTCTAAATCAGCATGTCCAAGCTAAACTGATGTACCATCGGTGATTGGGTCCTGTCGCTCAGAACTCAGAAATGTGTATCAAAAGTGCCTTTTGTCTCTGTCCCCGGTGCTGGAGGTTTGAATCCCACCATCTCTCACCCAGATTATTTCCAAGAAATAGCTGTGTTCCCCTCTTCCTTTCGAGTCTACTCGTATCAGTACCTCCAGATTTGTCTTCTTTTGAAGAAATTCTTTGTGCAGGGTTCCTAATTGAAACACTGTATTGATTTGCTTATGCCCAGACTCTAGCATGGCATATGAGGCCTGTCACTGCACTAAAGACCCACCTTCCCTTGAACGCACCAAACTCTTTGACATCTCCATCTTAGGACTTGCCGTTCCCCTAGTTGAAGTTCTTTAAGACCAACTTGTTAGTCTTAGTTTTTACACATAGTTTTTACACAAACCATGAAGAGTTCTCAGACTCCCCGAAGCACGATGAATTGCTCCCCGCCTGGATCTTCAAAAACTTCCTTTCTTATAGGATAGAGACAATTGAAGCTTCTGCTTTTGCCTCTCTTTCCAAAATTACAGACCCAGCGACTAGACATCAGGGCTCTCTGTTCCCTAGTCATCTCATTATATGGGGGGGCTGGCACCTCCATTCCCTAGTCATCTCATTATATGGAGGGCTGGCACCTAGGGGGCACTCAGGAAATGCTTGAAGAATTAACAAGGGATTCTTCAAGGCTGACCTCAGAACCCTCAAAGATACACGCAGCCTCTCGTTACTCATGTTCCCAGCACTGAACACACTTTGCAGCTCTCTAGGTAGCCACGTTCTTCCCAGAGAACTGGTTGCTTTCTGGAGTTTTGAAAAAGTTGATTTGGACGCTTTTTGCCCGTGTTCTTGTGTTTTTCACGGGGGAGAGCATTTTTGGATGTCCTTATCCTTTATTCCCATTCACATCGCCGGAGTGTTGCTGGGCCTTGCCCACATCTTGTTTCTACCTCTGTGTAGACAACATCTCTCTTCCAGGTCTGGGTCAGGTGCCCTTTCCCTGGGCGCCCAGAGCAACCAGTTCATGTATCACAGTGATTTGCAGATTGCTTGGTATTTTGCACTTTCGTGTTTCATTTTTCTCTCTCCTTCAACTAGACTAAGCTGCCCAAACACAAGGACTCTCAATTGGCCTCTCATTTCTATTGTTTTATATCACCGATTCTCAAACTTTGGGGGGAGGGGGGGGTATCTGGATCCACTGAAGAGCTTTGTAAAAATATAAAGAGCAGGGCCCTGTCCTGCTGCAACAAGCCTGGGGGCTCTGTGTGCTTCATTAGACCTCCGGGTGATTCTGATGCCCACCCAAGTTTGAGAACCACTGATCCAGGTACAGATCATGTCCTTAACCCCACACACCATGTGGCATCTTCTTTGTTAGGAGAGTGAAAAGGGCCATCACTGCCACTAAGGTGCTTCCCCCAAGGCCACATTCACCCCTTCCGAGTCAAGACTTCCGTCTAAAAGAAAACTACAAACTGCTCCGGCCGGAGTGGAGGGACCCCCGTCCACTTTACCTGCTTGCTCGCATGGGCCTTTCTCAAGTCTCTGGTGACAGCCAGCGTATCCTCAGTCCACGTGCAGCACGTGTATCTCCCATGCTTGGCTGATACTCGCACTAGTGGAAAGGCAAATGGAAAACCAGCCCAGGGAGGCAAGAGCAGACGGGGGGCTCCCCAGAGGTGGCCCCGAGGTGGCCACACCAGCAGCACACGGCTGTCCCTGGCCCCTGCCGTTCTGAACTGTGCTGAACGCATGATGAGGAGACCCCCTCAGAAACACTCCACCGTAGGCAATGAACATAACGTGTCCGCCTCCATATTTTTTAGTCATGGTAGCAATGGCAAGACCATCAGGGAGACAACTTACGGATGTCCGGTTTGCTTTTCTGTCTAAAGTGGTTTTGTTTCTAGCCATGTCTGGACCCTACAGCCTGGTTTCGAGGGCAAAAGCCATGGTTTTCTGCATGTCAATAAGGTATCCATTCATCACAGCCCATTTCAACTTCCTGCCACCGGCTCTGTCGGGAAATTTTCTCGGAACTGTGCTCTCTGAAGGCGTCGTTCTCAGAGCTGCAGGGAGACAAAGACAGATCAAATTGTCCTTAAGTATCTGTCACTCCACTCTTTCCCCAGAGTCCACCTTGCCTCAATGAAGAAAACAGAAACAATTGATCGGTACTTTAAAATGATGTTGCTTCCTTCCTGCAGGGTCACGTGGTCATGAACTTCAGTCGGTTGCCTTCCTTGCAGTTCGTTATGTCCTAGAGCTAACATATTCCCACATAGCAAAGCTCTGTCCCACGCGTTTATTTTCTTCCAGAGCTGTCGAAGCATCGGCTTTACTTTGTAGGCAAGTCGCTGCCTGGCTCTTTCGAAATCATGATGTTTCCTTTAATGTGCTTTCAAATGTCCTAGGGTATAAAAGGCTTGATGGCTTGGGAAGGCCAGCAGAAACCAGATTCAGAAACTTTCTGGGAGTTGGTTGGCTAGTGTGCGAACACTCTTCAGTTTCATCACATTAAATTAACATAATAAGAGCAACTTTTGGTCAGAAATAGCCTCAAAGGAGCAGGGGATGTGTGACTTAGAGACCCCGTGACATCTGTGTTTTTTTCTTCTTTTCTGATGTGTCATGAAAGTAAGAATGGCTGGGGAAAAGCCTAAAGCTAAATTGTGAGAAAAATCAGTCTCTAGAAGGTGATGCTAATGTGCTCTAGCCCCCTGGATGGGCTGGGAAGGCAAACTTGTTCCTCTCTGTTAAGATACAAACAAATTGTTTTAAAAATGTGACTCTCCTCTGAGGCCGCCTGAATTCCCCTTTCAAAGAGGAGGGAGCCAGGCAGATGAAAGCTGGGGCATCGGCAATCAGGGGTACGCTCCTAAGTGTTTAACTGGCAGCTGGGGCTGGTCTCTGATCTGTATCATTGGCCAATTTCGGTGGTGTAAATGCTCCCACCCAGGCCTATTTCAGGCCCCCAATGGGATGGCCATGAAGGCCGTCACCAGCCCATGTGAGCCGCTGCCCCACATCGCTGGATAAAGCACAGTGCATGAGCTCTGGAGACAACACGGGAGGCTCAAACCCCAGCTCCAGCACTTACTAGCTGTGGGACCTGGAGAGGAGTTACTGATTTCTCCCTGGGCTCCACATCCCTACCTGAAAGGTAGGTCTAGCATAGGATTACTGTGAAGAATAAATGGATAATATACATATAGAACATAAAACAGCAAGTGGTAAATGATCAGTAACCATTAGCCACTTAGAGGAGATGTTGTTGTTATTTCTGTAACCTAAGCAGGTTAGGTTGACCAACTATAAGCTATAATGACTATAGCTTCTCGTATTAAAAGAAAAAAAAAAGAGTATTACATAAACAATTTTGCAGCAAGGGCAATAGCATTTAACTCATACCTAGGTAATGCATCCCTCAATACTCCATCTTGTTCTCTATAATTAATACAAATCTTCCTCAACGTACAGTGGGGTTACATACTGATAAACTCATCATAAGTTGAAAATGTCACGTCAAAAATGCACCCACTACACCTAAGCTCCGGAACGTCATGGCTTACTTAGCCTGGCCCAACTTTAACGTGCTCAAAACACTTCCATTCCCCTACAGTTGGGCACACTCATCTAGCAAAAAAGCCTATTTGATAATGAACTGGTGACTCTCTCATGTAATCGATTGGCTACCGTACTGAAAGTGACGAACAGAATGGCCATGTGGACACAGAAGGGTTGTCAGCATACCTGTTGTCCACCCTCGTGATCGGGTGACTGTCCTAGAGCTGTGGTCACTGTTCCGCATCACCAGAAAGGATCATCCCACATAACTCCAGCCCGGGGAAAGATCCAAATTCAAAATTCGATGTACAGTTTCTACCGAATGTGTCTTGCTTTCGCACCATCGTAAAGTCAAAAAATCAAAGTCCAACCCTCTTGGGGACTGCCTATATTTAGAACTCACCTACAAAAGAGCTCTAGTTTTAGTGAGAATTTGACATGACCGGGTACGGGCAGGACTTCTGAGTTCTCTCTGTTGTCTCTTCCTGGGAAGAAGGCTGACTATGACCTGTGCATCTAGACATTCATGCAACGCTCACTGAGCGCCTATCATGTGCCCACCCCCTGAGCCCTGCAAACACACCTGCAGGGAGCCATGGTGCCCACGAGGGAACACACACCCTTTCTAAATTTAGCCAAATAGACTGGACAGCAATGATTGGGTTCTCAATCATTGAGAATCAGGCAAATTCTTCCTTAGTTCTTCTACTGATGTCAAAATCTCTGCCCAGTTGGCCCACCGAAATGATTTTGTTCATTCCAGCTCTTCCCTCTTTTCTCTAAGACTTCAGATCTCGTGGAGGTTCCTGAAGAAGCTGACGGGCCAGGAGGCGGGTATGACTCACGAAAACGCAGCAACAGCGGTGA